AGCGAAAATACCTCTACTTTGCTATTTAGCGTGACAACTAACTGAAGTTGCTTTTCAGAGTGTGGGTTTTTTTCAGCTTGTTCAAATATTGGTAAAGGAGCACGTCATTGCTTTTGTCGACGATATGGAGGAGGACTGGAGATACCCGAACAGAACACCGCGCTGTTGTAGATTCATTGTGTAGTGGCACAGTATATATAACATCAAAAATTAAAAGTAGTTTGGCAAAACCGTTAAGTATCTTAATTCCGGTAATTGGAATTTGGGGTCGATGAATTTCAAACGTTAATATTTTTCGTTTATTGTTCTGCTACTGTAGCAACGCGTTATTCGATATATGATATAGATTGCATCATACAGTATCGTAGTAAAGCACGATCTTGAGTTTTACGTTTAACGTAATTCTTATCTTGTGTGAGCGTTGCAAGGATATGTATCGTTGGAAAAATAATGTTTTCGTTTTGGCTTTTGTGTTATCAGTCTTGTAGAATAAACGTTCTATTACCCTTCTTGTTTTGAGTTCAGAGGTTATTGTTAAAGTGTGGTGGCACAATGACTTTAAGTGGGCTTTGAAATCCTGAGATAGCAGTTCAGATATTGAAAAAGAATAGAAATTTTGCTTTGCCACTACTTCCCTTGATATATCAAGGAATTCACCCCACCTTTTTTCGCGAATCATTGACATGCGATCAACGGAGTGCATGATATTCTTGTATGACCGTACCAGAATGTACGAGAGGTTCTTTTTCTCACGTCAGGCTGTCTAATTCATGAGATTCTTATGGACCAATTGTTCTACAGTTGATGTTTTCAGCACAAGGTGTATGTCTGGTATCCGTACTGTAAACAGAACGACACAGGTAATTTGTCATACGTTTGTGTAACGATGTAACTTTAACGGACATTTCGTCTTTTTTCGGTTTTTGAGGGTTCATTGGATATCCTGCCTCTGAGCTTTTGATCTAACATTTATTGTGGCTTACTGAAGGCGAACTATGATGGTTTAAATTTAAAATATTTCTTTGATTCATGATTTGGAAGATCAATCGGCGAAAGACGGCAGTAAGGTTGAGTCGTTTCGTTGCGTGTAACCGGCAACACCTTCAGAACTTGTAGTTAAATTAATATCAGTCGGTAAGTGCATATCATATCAATTTTATTTTGTATTTGTGGTGAAGGGATATCCTAGGATGAAAATATGGACCTGTTAACGCATTCTTTTGATGAACTGAAGGTTTTAATTTATGATTTTCAAAATGGAATTGCACTTGTTGCTTAATGTTCCTTGATGTTGGATGAATCCCGGGATTTTTTTAATTAAATCTATATTCTCATTAAACCTTTAAGAGATTTCGGCAATAAATCAACTCTGCGCTCGCAGTTAAAGTTTTCATTAAGAAATATTTCGCCTTAAGCGTATAATTTTTATTTAGTGTTCTGGATATAGGAAGAAGCTCTTCCAGTAATAAAACCATTGAATTCCAAAAGACGAAGAGGACAACTTTTGATAAACTGCTGACAAAAATTTTTTGTAGAAAAATGAAACCCGATCTAATGGGTTTACTAACAAATTGCTGGTTTTTGATACCGCCGCTGAGATATATAATTTTTTTGTTAGCTTTTGATGCCGGAAAAAAATGTTCTAAGTCCAATGATTTGCAGTTCATGACTCCAAATTGCTGACGTTCTGTTTTTTTCGTTGTCCTTTTTTGGTCATGGGGACAAATGCTTCAGGACGCTTAGCACTGGTCTCGAATAAGACCCTGATAATGCCCGACCTCCTCTTTGTTAATAAATATTGTATTGATGTCGAACATCACTGACAGGCGTGGGTTGATTGATCTGCTTCATTTTTGAGACCGATGTGCTTTTGTCGCCGTAAGGGCTACGTAATTGTTTTACATGCTTTGCACAATCAAAGGAGGTAAGAGAGCGGTCAAAACTGTCTGAGATGGAATAAAATATCGGCTCCATGAATATCAATATCTCAGGTTGTGCTGTTTATATTGCTATGGTATAAATATGAATCTTGAGCATTATAATAAATTTGTTTAGCGAGTGTTTTCATCTTTGATGGCCCATTACTTAAGTGCACAGTAATGGAACTCTGTCAGAGGATTGAATGACTATAGAGTTACAAACGACGGGGCTACCATACGAGTTACGACGAAGAACAAATTTTTTGGCACTGAAAAGATCATAATTTGGAAAAAAATTCTTGATTTAGATGTTAAAGTGGATTTACTAAAAAATCTAATTGTTAAGGTTTTAATTGCGATGGTTTCGATATGTGTTGCGAATGCTTCCAGAAAGGAAGGCTAAGCAATTGTTTCTTGCGAAACCGACCGGCAGAAGGCTCAGGGGACTTCCAAGTTTAACCTGGTGCAAATATGTGGAAGGAGTCTGTTCCAGACTCCAGTTGTCTTCTGCCGAAGCTCAGACTGTGGCACAGGAGCGGGAACGTTGGAATCACTGTCTGACGCGTCTGTCTCCCGACCCGAAAGGAGAAGCTGCTATGAAAGATGAAAATGAACAGGATAATAAGGGAAAATATGATCCTGCTCGTTGAATTGATTGATTGATTCGTTTCTACTTGTGTCTCGTTATCCTCTTGTCTAATTACCGGGGTTGCTGAGTCGGTCGAGCGATTTACTCACAATCGAGAGGTCCCGGGTTCAAGATCCAGTCGGGGTCATTCACCCTTCTTGCTTCTGTGAAAGCTACACAGTGTACTAGCCCTATAGCTGCTGTCGACGGCGGTTAAAATTGTAAAGCACTCTTGACTAGTGGCATGGAAATGGTGGTCATCGTGCCATCATTAACAAGGCCCCATCATGAAAGTGCAGGAAAAACCTACGTTTTAACGCTTTTTACAGTGTTCCTGTTTTCTTTCTACCTCGTTCTAATACATACTGAATGGTTTAGCTTTCGGCTCGCATTGTTCCTAGGTTTTCCGCCGTTTATTGCACCTCGTTTTTGATTTGAATTATGACAGTATAAACTATTGTTGGTTGGTTAAACGAAATTTTGGCGATCTTGTTTGAAACAGACAATTACTGAAACTACCAGAGTGTCTTTAGTCTAGACGATTTACGGCATGGTGTAAAAATGCCTGTTCATATTTTCGTAGGTTCAGCTCAGTTTTATGATTATAATTTATTTTTCACCCTGTTTCAGGCTTCTGTTGTAATATATGAAGATTTATTTGCTTTACGGGTTGAGAGCTTGTCGAAATTAGCCCTCAGCGACATGGAAAGCAGCGGTTCGATGCCTCGTAGGTGTCTACATAAGCGTTATCGATGTATCCGTTCGCAATATCCTGGTGAAACCTTGTGCCTACAACACCTTACACCGTGCAAAGATTCGCCATTTCGTCGTTGCAATTTCGTCAGTGTCCACACCGGCAAAAGGTGCTGCCGCAATGTCATGAAGTCAGACTGTGGAAAAGAAGCGTAAGCCTGATTATCAGATGTTTAAATCTTTGTCGTTCAGTTACTGATGGCTGATTTTCACGGCCAAAACAATAAGGTTAAGGGATTTACTTTTCGACCATATTGTGGTAGTTTAAAACGGATGGCAGTCATTACACCGGATTGCATTATAACATTGCGCCTTCCCTTGCTTCTAATCACTTCATGGACCAGTTAATCAGGCCACAATCGCATTGCTTAGTTGGGCCAAACAAGTACATATTCTGACACCATCAAAATTTCCATTATCCTTTTTTAATTCTACATCTAATTTAATGGAACATAGCCTCAGTGGCCTGAATAGCTACCAAGAGTGACTCTTGTTGCAGTGTAACCCGCTGTAATGACTGTCAGTCGTCTTACACTACTTTCGTCAGGGAATCTGTTTGCATGCGTTTTACCACTCACTGCCTATGCCTCTTCGATAATCTTCCTAGGGCTCCTTGCCAGTAACTTCGCGCTCTTAACAAGATCGTTATAATTAGTTGTTAGAAAAGCTGATTTTTGTCACCGGTACCTTATTTTGTGTGTGGTTCAACTGGATATAACTGAAGTTCTTACAGTGAGTTCTACTATCCGTGACAATCGCAGGAAAATCTGTTATGATACATATGGAAGATTTCATCTCCGAGGTCACGTCACATAAACGTATATGCACGGATGAAACTGGACTACCGGTCCATAATCGCCATTCGTAGCCCAAATGCTCAGATATCCAAAAGAGTGCATGTTTAACCATCCTGATTTGTTATTTTTTGAAGTGCTTCAAGTTGTATCTTTATTTGTTTCTGTGTTGTTCCCCACAGTCCTATTCTCATATACCGTATATTCAGCTGCCTTTTATACTTTGTTTCACTGCAATTTTCATACTAACTATTTTGTTCTACTGCTGAAAATTAGAATTTTTGATGTTATATTCAGGCAATAAGTTCTTAAATTATTTAACTTAA